TTGTAGTGACCTCAGAAACTCAATTGACTCTAAGAGAGTTTTGGAGAGAGCACTTTAATATCCTCAATTCTGAGTGACTAAGAGGACCTTGAACTCTGCTTGGAAGAAATTGTGGCCAGAATGTTCAGACCAAAGGGATTTTGAAGGGTTTGAGGCTAACCCTGGGAATCCTATGCCAGTTGAGGAATCCATTGTGGCATTGGGAAAGTCCTTGGGGTTGGAGGTTAGTGGGGATGATGTGGAAGAGTTGGTGGAGGAGGACAATGAAGAACTAACCAATGATGAGCTGCTAGATCATCTTCATCAGCATGAGGCCAGACCTGAGGAAACTGCTTTGGAGGAGGGGAGAGAGAAATTGAAGAAGTTGCCTACTTCAAAGATTAAGGAAATGTGTGGAATGTGGCTTAAAGTGCAAACCTTTTTTTTGATGACAATCACCCTAACACAGCTATTGCAAGCCGTGCTGGTGACTATTACACTGACAATGTTGTGAACCACTTTAGGAAAGTCATAAAGAAACGGGAGGTACAGGCCTCTATGGACAGATATGTTGTGCGACAGAAGTGCAGTGACTCTGAAGCTGGTCCTAGTGGCATTAAAAGAAGAAGGGAAGTAACCCAGGAAAAGAACTTGACACCTCAAGTCTTAATGGAAGGGGATTCCCCTTCTAAACACTAAGAAGATCAACGGTCTCCCCTCCTCCCATCCCATCAGTCATCACCACATCTTCAATAAAGGTAAGTGTCATGTAACTGTACATGTCTTCTTCAGTTTGTGTGTATTAAAATTAATATTTCATGTGGTAAATTTTTTTTTTTTCAATACTTTGGGGTGTCTTGCACGGATTAATTTAATTTCCATTATTTCTTATGGGGAAAATTAACTTGACTAACGATTATTTTGATTAATGATGAGCTCTCAGGAACGGATTAATATCGCTGGTTGAGGGTCCACTGTACAGTGGACCCCCGCATACCGTTGGCATCGCATAGTGTTAAATCTGCATAGCGATACATTTTATCGCTAAAATTTTGCCTCGCATAGTGCTAAAAAAACTCGCTCAACGCGATTCGTCTGAGACACGTCCATGTGGCCTGAGCCAGCCTCACTTGTTCTGCCAGTGGCATTGTTTACAAGCCAGCCTCCACGGTAACATTCAAGCATACAATCGGAACATTTCGTATTATTACAGCCTTTTTATAGTGATTTCACCTGAAAAATAAGTGACCATGGGCCCCAAGAAAGCTTCTAGTGCCAACCCTACAGGAATAAGGGTGAGAATTACTATAGAGATGAAGAAAGAGATCATTGCTAAGTATGAAAGTGGAGTGCGTGTCTCCGAGCTGGCCAGGTTGTATAGTAAACCCCAATCAACCATCGCTTCTATTGTGTCCAAGAGAACGGCAATCAAGGAAGCTGTTCTTGCCAAAGGTTTAACTGTGCTTTCGAAACAGAGATCGCAAGTGATAGAAGATGTTGAGAGACTGTTATTGGTGTGGATAAACGAAAAACAGATAGCAGGCGATAGCATCTCTCAAGCGATCGTAAGTGAAAAGGCTAGGAAGTTGCACGAGGATTTAATTAGAAAAATGCCTGCAACTAGTGGTGATGCGAGTGAATTTAAGGCCAGTAAAGGTTGGTTTGAGAGATTTAAGAGGCGTAGTGGCATACATAGTGTGATAAGGCATGGTGAGGCTGCCAGTTCGAACCAAAAAAAGCAGCTGAAAAATATGTGCAGGAATTCAAGGAGTACATAGACAGTGAAGGACTCAAACCTGAACAAGTGTTTAATTGTGACGAAACAGGCCTGCTTTGGAAGAAAATGCCAAACAGGACCTACATTACTCAGGAGGAAAAGGCACTCCCAGGACATAAGCCTATGAAAGACAGGCTTACTCTTCTCATGTGTGCCAATGCTAGTGGTGATTGCAAAGTGAAGCCTTTATTAATGTATCACTCTGAAACTCCCAGAGCGTTCAGGCAAAAGAATATCCTCAAGGCTAATTTGTGTGTGCTGTGGAGGGCAAACAATAAGGCATGGGTCACTAGGGACTTTTTCTATGACTGGTTACACCAAGCATTTGCCCCCACTGTGAAAAATTACCTAACTGAAAAGAAATTAGACCTTAAGTGCCTCCTGGTGTTAGACAATGCCCCTGGTCATCCTACAGACTTGGCAGAGCGACTTTGTGGGGATATGAGCCTCATTAAGGTGAAGTTTTTGCCTCCTAATACCACTCCTCTCCTGCAGCCCATGGACCAGCAGGTTATTGCAAACTTAAAAAAGCTGTACACAAAAGCTCTATTTGAAAGGTGCTTTGTAGTGACCTCAGAAACTCAATTGACTCTTAAGAGAGTTTTGGAGAGAGCACTTTAATATCCTCAATTGTGTAAACCTTATAGGTAAGGCTTGGGAGGGAGTGACTAAGAGGACCTTGAACTCTGCTTGGAAGAAACTGTGGCCAGAATGTGTAGACCAAAGGGATTTTGAAGGATTTGAGGCTAACCCTGAGAATCCTATGCCAGTTGAGGAATCAATTGTGGCATTGGGGAAGTCCTTGGGGTTGGAGGTTAGTGGGGAGGATGTGGAAGAGTTGGTGGAGGAGGACAATGAAGAACTAACCACTGATGAGCTGCTAGATCAACTTCAACAGCAAGAGGAAACACCTGAGGAAATTGCTTCGGAGGAGGGGAGAGAGAAATTGAAGAAGTTGCCTACTTCAAAGATTAAGGAAATCTGTGCAAAGTGGCTTGAAGTACAAACCGTCATGGATGAAAATCACCCTCAGACAGCTATTGCAAGCCGTGCTGGTGACTATTACACTGACACTGTTGTGAAACACTTTAGGAAAGTCAAAAAGGAACGAGAGGTACAGGCCACTATGGACAGATATGTTGTGCGACAGAAGTCCAGTGACTCTGAAGCTGGTCCTAGTGGCATTAAAAGAAGAAGGGAAGCAACCCCGGAAAAGGACTTGACACCTCAAGTCCTAATGGAAGGGGATTCCTCTTCTAAACACTAAAACCATCCAGTCTCCCTCCTCCCATCCCATCAATCATCACCCACATCTTCAATAAAGGTAAGTGTCATGTAACTGTGCATGTTTTCTTAAGTTTGTGTGTATTAAAATTAATATTTCATGTGGTAAATTTTTTTTTTTCATACTTTTGGGTGTCTTGCACGGATTAATTTGATTTCCATTATTTCTTAGGGGGAAAATTAATTCGCATAACGATAATTTCGCATAACACTGAGCTCTCAGGAACAGATTAATAGCGTTATGGGGGTCCCTGTATGTATGTATGTATGTATGTATGTGTATGTGTATATATATATATATATATATTAATATATATTTTATATATATATATAATATATATATATATATATATATATATATATACACACACACACACACATGGAAACCTCTACTTGCGAGCATGTCCACATGCGAGTTTTTCCAAATATGAGCAGTCGATGGGTCGATTTTTTGCTTCCATACACAAGCAAAATTTCCACAAGCGAGCAGACCTCAAGGCAGGTTCATTGACACTGGTGAGGGGCTCTTTCTTTGATCTCAGGAATTGTATCTCATTTGTTTGTTGGACTTCTTATTGAAACTTGGGCAATGTATGAGGGAAAAAGATGCTTCTTAATGTACAACCAAAAATGAAAGAAATCTAAGCATAAAAAATGGAGTTCACTTCTCAGCAATTAGCCACCCCTTAGTGGTAATTTCAAATGGTTTTTTTTGGTTGTATTCTCGTTTTTTTTGGGCTCATTTGATAGAAAGGAAGATAAATTACAGAAATAGATATGAATTGATTGCTTCATGGTCTTTAACAGAGGTCAATGGAGAAATAGTCCTTTTCGTTCATAACAGAGTCAGTCATTCCTTGCAGTCTGAGAATTTATCAAAATATGCAATATGATACATAATTTTTCTGTGTAATACAAATTACGTCATTTCATTATCAATAATACATCATAAGGGTAATAAACAATAATTATACAATAATATATATTTGTAAAAGGAAAAAACAAAGTATAATATTTTAGTAATAATAAAAGATATAGGAAGAAAGATTCTTCCCGTATAGCATGCTTTGTAAAGAACAAAAGAATAATAACTAATCATATAACAATAAAAGAAAATTTGTATAACTATATTGATAATAACAATAAGTATAATAATAATAATAATAATAATAATAGTATAATACAATAATAATAATAATATGTATAATAATAATACATATATAATAATAATGTACTATATATAATAATTATAATAATAGACAGCTTCAAAAGGCCATCACTAGATGATTGCACCTGCAAAATAAGTCACCATGGGCTCCAAGAAAGCTTCCAGTGCCAACTCTATAGCAAAAAGAGTGAGAATTACTATGGATATGAAGAAAGAGATTACAGTGGACCCCTGCATACCCCATGCATCGCATACCGTACAATCCGCATACCGCTCGCTTTTTTCGCAAAAACTTTGCCTCGCATACCGCCCAAAAACCCGCTCACCACCCTTCGTCCGAGACGCGTTCAATGTGCGGCCTGAGCCACGCTCACATGTTCCGCCGGTGGCATTGTTTACCAGCCAGCCTCCGCGGTAACATCCAAGCATACAATCGGAACATTTCGTATTATTACAGTGTTTTTGGTGATTTTTTCTGGAAAATAAGTGACCATGGGCCCCAAGAAAGCTTCTAGTGCCAACCCTACAGCAATAAGGGTGAGAATTACTATAGAGATGAAGAAAAAGATCATTGATAAGTATGAAAGTGGAGTGCATGTCTCCGAGCTGGCCAGGTTGTATAATAAACCCCAATCAACCATCGCTACTATTGGTGGTACAGCTGCTGCTGTACCACCATCAGCTGCTGCTGCACCACCATCAGCTGCTGCTGCACTGAGTGCTAGCTCACTGCATGCTGCTGCACTGTCAGCTGCTGCTGCTGTTGTACACCGTCAGCTGCTGCTGCTGCTGTAGTACCATCTGCTGCTGCTGTAGCATCATCTGCTGCTGCTGTAGCATCGTCTGCTGCTGCTGTAGCATCGTCTGCTGCTGCTGTAGCATCGTCTGCTGCTGCTGTAGCATCGTCTGCTGCTGCTGTAGCATCATCTGCTGCTGCTGTAGCATCGTCTGCTGCTGCTGTAGCATCGTCTGTTGCTGCTGTAGCATCGTCTGTTGCTGCTGTACCACCGTCAGCTGCTGCTGCTGCTGTAGCACCGTTGTTGGTGTGGCTTATTGAGAATACCAAGAAACAATTAACCCCAGAGGATTTGCCACCCAGGATAACCCAAAAAAGTCAGTGTCATCGAAGACTGTCTAACTTATTTCCATTGGGGTCCTTAATCTTGTCTCCCAGGATGCAACCCACACCAGTCGACTAACACCCAGGTGAACAGGGAAAAATGCCTGGAACTAGTGCTCATATTGGTGAATTTAAAGCCAGCATAGGTTGGTTTGAGAGATTTAAGAATCGTAGTGGCATACAGTGTGATAAGGCCTGTTCTGGAAGAAAATGCCAAACAGGACCTACAGTACTCAGGAGGAAAAGGCACTCCCAGGACACAGTGTCTCATCAGTCATTGCTGCATCTTCAATAAAGGTAAGTGTCATTTATTCTTCATTTAGTAGAGTAGTACATGCACAATATATATTGTGCATGTACTACTCTACTATTGTGCATGTATCCTTCTCTTTGTGTGTAGGAAAATGTATATTTCATGTGGTAAAAATTTTTTTTTCATACTTTTGGGTGTCTTGCACGGATTAATTTGATTTCCATTATTTCTTATGGGGAAAATTCATTCGCATACCGAACATTTCACATAACAATCAGCCCTCTTGCACGGATTAAAGTCGCTATGCGGGGGTCCACTGTATTGCTAAGTATGAAAGTGGAGTGTGTGTCTCCAATCTAGCCAGGTTATACACAAGAACCCAATCAACCATCGCTACTATTGTGGCCAAGAAAACGGCAATCACAGAAGCTGTTCTTGCCAAAGGTGCAACTCTGTTTTCGAAACAGAGATCACAAGTGATAGAAGATGTTGAGAGATTGTTATAGTGTGGATAAACGAAAAACAGATAGCAGGAGATACCATCTCTCAAGCGATCATTTGTGAAAAGGCTAGGAAGTTGCATGACGATTTAATTAGAAAAATGCCTGCAACTAGTGATGATGTGAGTGAATTTAAGGCCAGCAAAGGTTGGTTTGAGAGATTTAAGAAGCGTAGTGGCATACATAGTGTGATAAGGTATGGTGAGGCTGCCAGTTCGGACCACAAAGCGGCTGAAAAATATGTGCAGGAATTCAAGGAGTACATAGACAGTGAAGGACTGAAACCTGAACAAGTGTTTAATTGTGACGAAACAGGCCTGTTTTGGAAGAAAATGCCAAGCAGGACCTACATTACTCAGGAGGAAAAGGCACTCCCAGGACATAAGCCTATGAAAGACAGGATTACTCTGTTGATGTGTGCCAATGCTAGTGGTGATTGCAAAGTGAAGCCTTTATTGGTGTATCACTCTGAAACCCCCAGAGTGTTCAGGAAAAACAATGTCCTCAAGGCTAATTTGTGTGTGCTGTGGAGGGCAAACAGTAAGGCATGGGTTACTAGGGACTTTTTCTATGACTGGTTACACCATGCATTTGCCCCCAATGTGAAAAATTACCTAACTGAAAAGAAATTAGACCTTATGTGCCTCCTGGTATTAGACAATGCTCCTGGTCATCCTTCAGACATGGCAGAGCGACTTTCTGTGGAAATGAGCTTCAGTAGGGTCAAGTTTTTGCCTCCTAATACCACTCCTCTCCTGCAGCCCATGGACCAGCAGGTTATTGCAAACTTCAAGAAACTGTACACAAAAGCTCTGTTTGAAAGGTGCTTTGTAGTGACCTCAGAAACTCAATTGACTCTAAGAGAGTTTTTGGAGAGATCACTTTAGCATTCTCAATTGTGTAAACATTATAGGTAAGGCTTGGGAGGAAGTGACTAAGAGGACCTTGAACTCTGCTGGGAAGAAACTGTGGTCAGAATGTGTAGACAAAAGGGATTTTGAAGGGTTTGAGGCCAACCCTGGGAATCCTATGCCAGTTGAGGAATCCATTGTGGTATTGGGGAAATCCTTGGGGTTGGAGGTTAGTGGGGAGGATGTGGAAGAGTTGGTGGAGGAGGACAATGAAGAACTAACCACTGATGAGCTGCTAGATCATCTTCAACAGCAAGAGGCCACACTTGAGGAAACTGCTTTGGAGGAGGGGATAGAGAAATTGAAGAAGTTGCCTACTTCAAAGATTAAGGAAATGTGTGCAATGTGGCTTAAAGTGCAAACCTTTTTTTGGTGAAAATCACCCTGACACAGCTATTGCAAGCCGTGCTGGTGACTATTACACTGACAATGTTGTGAAACACTTTAGGAATGTCATAAAGGAATGGGAGGTACACGCCTCTATGGACAGATATGTTGTGCGACAGAGGTCCAGTGACTCTCAAGCTGGTCCTAGTGGCATTAAAAGAAGAAGGGAAGTAACCCCGGAAAAGGACTTGCCACCTCAAGTCCTACTGGAAGGGGATTCCCCTTCTAAACACTAACACCATCAACACTCTCCCCTCCTCCTATCCCATCAATCATCACCAGATCATCAATAAAGGTAAGTGTCATGTAACTGTGCATGTCTTCTTCTTTTTGTGTGTATTGTTGGTGATGACACCCCTGCAAGGAGGGCCCGGGGAAGGGGTGGGAGAGAGAGAGTGGTGGGTTGTGGAGCATAGGCCGTGATGAGGCTTCGTCTTGGGCTCTCCCAGGGCCTTCATCTTGCTTATGGACTGGGGAGATGTAGCTCCTGCAATGTGAGGCGAGTGCTCAGAGAAAGTAAGCTAAATACTGCTCTTTGGCAGCAAGAAAGTGTTAAGCATTATTGAAGCGAACTCCAACAGTTATCAATGAAGCCAAAAAGCTAAGCAAGATGTCATTCAACACCTTGATATCAATAATGCATTAAATGGCAATAAATCAAACATAGAATTTACCAGATTTAGCCGTCTGTTTCTTTCCATCAAATGTCTGAGATGTTGTTGATGTTGAAGATGTAGTGGATGGTGTAGGTGAGTTTGGATGCTTCCTAGGTGGTGGATTAGTGGGCGGAGCACTGTTGGACCCACTGCTGCTGTTACTGTTGTGGCTCACTGATTCAGCAGCTGCTTTGTGACCCTCCGAGCCAGCTTCACACTCATACGACATGGTGCGAAGTTGATCTTCATCCACAATTATGTTCATGCGAGACAGATACGCCTTCACTCGTCGAACCATCTGAGCCTGAAATAATGTATATATCCTTATGTGTTGAAAAAAGGTCCTAATATATATTTTTCTATAGGTTTATAAGGTAGTTTCCACAACATTCTACATGCTAGTTATCTAAAAACTACAATTTATTCACACAAGCACCCTTTTCGGTCACACAGGCCACACTAGCTCAATCACTAAAACAAATTATTTTACCACTTTCATTTATTTATTTATTTAACATATACAGAGAAGTAAAAAGGGAAAAAAATTTTTATTAAAGGAAAACATCCCAAACCCCCTTGTATGCAACATTACGGCAGGCTTAAAATTAATTTTTAAGATTAACTAAGCAATATATATTCAGGGAAAAACATTATTGTAAACAGTAAAAATTTAGCACAAATAGTATATAAAGACGGGTCATATTGTCATTTACTGTGTTGCGAGTTTTCAGTAAAAAAGGAGTATTGTGTTGGGCAATGTAATTTAAAAAAATAACGGTTTAATTGGGTCCGGGTTAACATTATGAGATAAAATTTTTTTAAAACATTTATGAGATAATTTATGAGATACAATTATTCATATTTTTAAGTTGTGGTGAGTAAGTATTTATGAAAGAACTTGAATTTTAAAAAACAGACAGTGTTTTTTTTTATATTCACGGAATAAAAATTCCAGATTTTGGGGCCTTTTTGTGCATGGTTTTTCAAAGCTGAGAGGACCGGGGAACATCAAAGAGTGATCTGTCCTTGTGTTATGGTCTGGTTCTGTTGAGTTGGAAGGAGATGTTTGAGGGGGGGGTTTTATCAGAGTTAAGGTTTTCTATGAACGTAGTAGGTGCAGAATAAGTATGGATGTTTTGTATGGGATAGGTTTAGATTTTGAATATTGGGGAGTGTGCTGAAATAGTAGGAATTTTTACATTTGACTTCAGCCTTTGTTGGGTAATTAGGGGTCTGAGATGGTTTATTGTTGTGACCCCCCTGCACAAATTCCATAGGTAGATGGGGGGTAATAAGTGACGATATAGGGCCAGGGGGTGAGGGGAACATATACCGATCTTCGATAGTATGATTACGGTTTTGGGAAATTTTTTTGGAAATTTTTTTTATGTGTTTGAAATTAGTCTATTATCAAGGGGGTTTCCAAAAGATTTCCCCCTTTGGGGATTTTGTGATAGGTGATCCATTTATCTTTGTTAAAGGGACATTTTTTGTTCTTTTACCAAACTGAAGAAGTATTTTTTGTCAAGTTTAGTGTAATTTTTTGTTATCCTCATCCGGGTAGAATTTTCTGTAATTCAGTATTTAAGTTTTGGGCTAGCGTGACTGGGCTCGGGTGAGAAAAAAGACGTATGTAGTGTCATCTGCAAATAGTGTGGGTTTGATAGTTGAAATGCATTTGGTAGGCCATTTATGTATATGGAAAGAGAAGGGGGCCCAAGGGACATTTCCCGTGGGACCCAAACTGAAATTGGGCTGTGGGGAAGAGTTTACTCCTTTGTTACACAATTGGCTTCTGTTGCTGGGGTAGACTTTAGGTGGGGAAAGGGTGCCCTCTTTTTCCAAGTGCGACAATTTTATGTGGAAAAGAATGGTCAACTGTAAAAAAAGCTTTACGCAAGTCAATGAAGACCCAGGGAACTTTTTTTTTCTCTAAATTTCAGTGTAATTTGTTCTAGCAGTTTTAATACATCATTTGTTTTTTATTAGGGCCCGAGCCCAAATGACAGGGGTTGAGTATGTTGTGGAGATGGGTAGGAAAAAATTCCCTTTTTGAGTTAATTTTTTGAAGATTTTTGAGAGAGGGGGTAAGTTTTTATATTGGCCTATAGTTATTCAAGTCTGTTTGGTTCCTCCTTTTGGATCAGGGTACCCTTGCTATTTTGAGAACTGTAGGGGAAGGGAGAGGATTCAAGGATTTTTTAGTGTTTCAATGATTGGTGATGCACTTGGATGCTTTTTTGTATATAAAAAAGGGGGCAAGGTATTTTTAAAACTCCTGTCTTTATTTTGGGGGTGTTGAAAAAGAGAACTTCAGTTGGGGTTTGTAGGAGCTAGGAACTGTGTTCGGGTAGTTTGCCGTGAGGGGTTTATTTTGGGGGGAACTAGCTTGGGATTTTTTGGGAAGGTTTTTTTTTCCCATAGTGGAAAAAATCATTGAGTTGTTTTTTTTCATTTTATTTTATTTTTAACAAAAAAGAAACGTTACCCGGGGTTTAAACCCGAGGGGGGGGGCAAAAAATTAAACGAAAGGGGGGGGGGGATATCGCTTAAAAAAAAAAGCCCCTATCGGGGGTAAAGGGGGGAAAGGGTAAAGTTTTGGGGGTGAAAAAAACAAAATTTTAATTCAGGTTGAAAAAGAATGAGATCGGATAAAGGGGGTTTCCTAGCAAAAAAAGGTGGGGGGGGGGCCAAAAAAAATTAAAAACGCTTCGTTTGATAAAATGGGGGCCAACAAAAGTTGCTATAAAGGGCTTTTGGAATTTTGAAGGAAGAGTCTTTGGGGTTCCAAGTTTGAGAGTAGGGAAAAACGAAAGGGAAAAGTATTTAAGGGGAATGGTGTGGGGGAGGCCAGTAACCTATCTTTTTAAAGAAAGGGGGTTTTTCCGAATGTAACCCAAGGTTCCAAGGGTGTGAAAGGGGGGGGTTTTCAGAAAATTTAAGAATACCCAAAAAAATGGTGGTTTTATGTTGCACCGGACTTCCCCGTGTTCACCCCCGAAGTCAAATGAAGGAAAAAAAACAATTTTTTTTTTTTTATTTAAAAAACGGGTTAAAACAAATGGGGGAAGGGCTAAGGGGGAAGGGGATAAATTTTTGATAGGTAAACAATAAAGCTAGCAACCCAAAAAAAACAACTGAAATACGTGTGCTGTAAGATGGCATTAATTCAGGTAAAAAAACACTGAAGAAAAAGGGGTTTTTTCCCTTTCCGGGAAAACGCTGCGAACCCCCCGGGTGAAGTTGGCCCTTTGCAAGCTCTGAGTGGTGAAAATTGGGAAGAAAAGAGACGGGGGGAACTAGAATTGGGTTTCGAGGGGGGGAAAAAGAACAACTCGCAGCTGGAAATTTCCCCCGGGGGGAGGGGGTGGATTACAAGTCAAAAAAATTAGTTTAAAAAGCAAAAAAATGAAGGGGAAAAAAGGGGGGGGATGCGGGGCCAAAAAAATGTGTCTTAATATCTCCTTTTAAATGGGGATTTCGGAATTTATGGGCTTTTAGTCCCTTTTTTCAAGGGGATATGGTGTCGGTGCAGATGTGTCTAGTAGGGAAACATAGTCTCTGTAACTTTTGTAGGGTTTTGTTACTGTTGGTAGCAACATGCAGTTACTCAGAGTGTTTGTGAATTCAGTAACGTGTGGGTCCTGGTCTTGCAGGAGATTTATATTGAAGTCACCTGAGAGTAGTAAGTGATCTTTGTTCATGTGTGCATCAGTTATCATACTTCCTAGGTGTTGCAACCCCTGAATGGGTTGCAATGATTATGTATATATATAATTATTACCTTTTCATTTAATTTTATATTGCTTATATTTGCGATAATAGCTAAATCGTAAATGTATTGCTTTATATTGTTATTTGACGTAGTTATGTTGTTTGATAGGATGTAACATATTAAGTGCTCAGTTCAAGTCTTGATTGTCAAACTACTGTAATTATCGCTTGTGGCTCGTTAGACTGCCAGCTTCTGAGCTGCAGTTGTCCACGAAGCTATCACGTGATCGAGGGGGGGGTGTCCTCACCTCACCTGAAGTATTCAGTCTGGTCAACTCTCTTGGTGGTTGGACAGATTGTCTGTCTCATTATTCTTGTTAATTCTGTAGAACTCTGTTCATGGAACCTTGTATAGACTTAGTGATTTTCGATGTTGTACTGAGGTTGTGTGTCTCATAGACACTCTGAGTAACTCAGGTCCTGAGCTGTAACTTCTCACTTAATTTGTACTGGTTTCTGTGTATTATCACAGTCGAGGATTTTCTTATGCTGAACTTAGATTCAGTAGTATGGGAGTTTTGTAACTTTTGTGGAGGATCTGCTGATGGTCCCTACTTTGTGTCGTTATATTATCTCCTTGTTCCTAATTCTGTGTCGCAGTTGCTTGTTGCATTGCTATTGGGCTTTAGCATTCTTTTTGTTGTTCAAGCAACTGTTCTGGTTGCCAGTCGGTCAAGAATTTTAGTTTATTTAGGACTTTGTCAGTCACTTATTTAAGTCTAGTCGAGTCGTGAGACATAGTGAACTCTACTTAGAGCACTTGCACACATACACAAACTTACTTGTACATATTTGTAATATCTTATTAAATGTTAATGTACCAGACGGTACTTAAGAATTATAAATGTGATATGTGCTTTCAGCACAATAATATTGAACTCGAGAGATGTGACATTATTTTGATTACTGTGATTAATTTAATCTAATTTAATTTGATAATATACCTCTAGACTTAATAAATTTATTAAATTTTAATTTCTCTAGTTAGTAGCCTACCAGTTGTAATCCTGAAGCACTATTGAATCCAACTGAATTCTAATGGATAATTGAACAAGGATACTGACTACTTGTTATGAAAACCCAGTAACAGGCTGGATGCTAGAAGGGCAGTCCTTTCTAGTATTCACTGGAGATCTCTAAGCTTTTAGAATCACGTTTTTTGTAACACTAGGTTTTCACTAAAACAGCTAATGTTTGACTGTGGTACTCTGTAGATGTTTTTTCACTGTGAGAGGTTTTTGTAGGTATTTGGATTTGAATTTAGCTATTATATATTCCCCATGTTCGTCCCTTGTGCAAGTATTAGTGATACATTCTAGTTGGTCTGAGTAGTATATAGCTGTGGGCCCCCCCCTTGTTGATCTGGCCTACAGTTGTGTATGGCTGTTTTAACCAGGAATGGCATAGACATCTGTAGTATCAGGCTTTAGCCAGGTTTCAGTGAGAGTAATGATGGATATACTGGCATGCAGGGAATTTAGTAATGCTATGAGGTCATCGTAATTTTAATTTCTCTAGTTAGTAGC